CCGATGGCGCATTCGTACGCGACTCGGAAGTCGATGGCGAAGTGAAGCGACGAAAAAACATGGATTTCGGGCGAAAAGCATGCAGACCGATAAAGTCCCTCTGACGTCGTCAATATTTTGTAGTCACCCGATGGTGGTGCTCTCTTATCTCATCGCGTATAGCTCGACGGCCACGGTTGCGACAACCGTGCCTCTTCTCTTTCCTATCTCCGTTTAGCTTATAAATACAGTCATGCAGCGACGGCGATTAATCGTAAACTTGGTCATCCTCGTTCGATTAAAAATTTATGCGCATTAATCACGCATCTTAGAATGACGGAGATCGATCGATCTTTTAATTGTTTTTAAAGTTTTTATTTTGCGACAATCTGTTACTCTTTTTTGGGGGGAGAAAGCGATTTTAGAGCTTCTTTCGTATATTTTGATATTCTTGTTTATTGTCGATACGAAAAGCACGATACTGTAAACAAGGAAAATTATTCGCGAAATATAATTTTGCAATAATTTTTCTCCGTGATTACAATTGATATGCGACCACATCCGTTTGATGATTACACTAAATTAAATTGTGCCAATTGATATTGACTAATTTAATCTATAGCCGTTAAATAAAATTTAATTACATTAAATTAAAAAATATATATGTATATGAATATATAATTGATAGCAATATAATATTCTGTTATTTTAAAATCTTTGTAAGATAAAAAAAAACTTTTCATAATTAATATAATTTTTTATGCATATTTAATTATTTTACGTAGAGTCTCTAAACATTAATTCACTTTATTTTTAAGTAACTTCATCTAAAAAAATTAGCGAGTAATGAAAACCATAATGTTATCGCAATGTATCTTTTCAGGGAAATTACTAGGAAATAAATTACACGAACGCAATCCAATTTACAACCACAATGTAATCTTTAAATACTCATTAAATATAGGAGATAATATAATATTCTGTATAGAATTAGATGATATGATAGAGAAATCTATTAATATCTATCCTCTCTATTACATCACAAAGGCTCGTGTGTTCCTCTCTCTATTGTATCACAAAGATCATCAGTCAGTTCTCTCGCCACACCCCTTTTTATATCGAGCTATAAAATGACAGTGAAAATTCCCTTATTTTTTTATTTTTTTTTTTTGTTCAAAGTAAAACATAATCGCGATTTCGAAACAATGTGCCTCAAACTCATCGCGCCACCTCAGAGGATACCCAATGTTACGTAGGGCCCGTGTATCTCTCTCTCTCTCTCTCGGACCCGGCTGAATATCACGCCGATGATCGACGATGCGGAGCGGGATAAAGGAGGAGGGCACCCCGCGGGGGTCTCAGCAGCGGCGACCCCCGTCGAGCGCGAGCGTCAAATTAATAAGCGATGATTTTATAGAATGCTTTATTGAATCGTGTTCGCCGTAAAGAATATCTTCCATCGCCTCGCTCGCCATCGATCGCGCAAAGCCACGGTTCTCACCGATCTTTTTTCCCCCTCCCTCTCCCCCTTCTCTCAAACTCCGCGAAACGCGAAAAATTAAGACTATATATGTGAATTCGCACGAATTTCTCTCTTATTCTTTTTCGAATGACGAATTTTGTGAATTGTACATAATTATATATGTTTTAATTAATTAGGGAGATTTCGGGGATTTAAAAAAAGGGGGGTTTTAGATAAATGACACTTTAAGGGCCCCCGCGAGAAGGATTGAGAGACACTGACGAGAGAGGCGCGTCTCTCCTTTCTTCTACGCCGTTGTTGTTGCTGTTGTTATTGCTGGTGTATCGCTGCTAATATGACGAGACTCCCCGTCGCGCCTCCCCTCCCCCTCGAAATGTGATTCCTCTAGTAAATTCTTGCGTATCATCGCGCGGAAAGAGATTATTCGATAGCGACACCTTCGGAGTCTTTTCGTTCGTTTAATCGAACACTCTTCGATCGAATAATCGTTGTCTCTCTCTCTCTCTCTCTCTCTCTTTCTTCCTCGGAGAACGAGATGTGTAACGCGAGCCTCGTGTCGCTGATAGATACGATGTCGAATACGCTGATGTATCCTAGCTATATGTCGGGTTTGATGATCAGCTGACCGCATTGTGACGGTTTGCGTCCATGTGAGATGTAGTTTATGTCTCTGATATTGCAGGCTTTATTTGATAAATTTGTCGACGAGCATATTACACAATCCTGATAATTGAGTTTATGATATATTTCGACAACAACAATAAGAAATTTATTTAATTTTTGAGGAATTTTATATTTTTTTAAAACCAAGTAGAGGAGAACCACCGACTCTCGCGCATACACCATTCCGGCGAGATGCCGGGACCGTGTCGTAACAGACCGGAGTGACACCACAATGCGGTGTAGCAATTTGTAGGCTCGCCCTTCTCTCCCCCCCCCTTATATTTTTTTAAATTATTTAAAAGAAATAAAAAAAATCTCGAAAAGAATTTTACGGATTATTAAAAATCGAAGTGTTTCGCGAAGAAAAATGCAGAATTCTCTGCACAAGCATGAGCAATTTAAAGGTTCAAATTTTCAAACAGCCACAATTTTGAAAATCTACAACAATAATTCGTAAAATTGCAACAATTTAACTTTACGAAATTTTCTAATCTTAGAAACGCCCCCTAAAACTTCAAGGATTTTCCTTTAAACTCCAAAAGACGCGAACTTTCGGCGCCCAATCTCGCTTAATTGAATTCGCTCTTCGCGGATAGAAAAAAAGAAAATATATCAATGTTCTCTCTCCTCCCGTAACGGTACAAGAAGAAGAAAGCTCAAAAGAAATCCCGTCTAATTTATTTGCAACCGAACAGGCAGGTTATCGGTGTAAAGGCCGCGTTTACACCCGTGTAAAGGTCCCTCTCCCGCCCTTAGTCGGTTAACGCCGCGGGGTGGCGCAGCGACAGGGGGTGGGGAGGGGTACACGGGGCGGGACTCACCCCTCGCCCTTCTCCTTTCCACGTCGTTCCCCCTTGCTTCGACTCCTCGGCTGTATTTATGAGGCGAGCCTTGGGTATCGGTTCCGCGCTTCGCGAAGGAAGGACGAGATGCACCAACGAGAGGGACTTACAGGTGGAGGGCACGAAGGGTGGAGCGAAGGGGCGGGAGAGAAGGAAGAGGGCACCGAGAGGGAAGAAAGGCTAACTAGGCGAGATCAGCGGCGCGATAGTTGTCTCCGGCGCGTTTCTTTGCGAGGGCAGGAAGGGCCTCGAGAAAAGGAAGAGAAGGAGGTGGAGGAGGAGAGGAACATCTTGGCGGGGAGAGACATCTGCGGCGGCGGGATTCATGCGTTTTGCGCGGAATAAGGGGACTTGGTCGAAGAAGATAAAAGCTGCTGATGGACCTTCTTTCTTTCTTTCTTTCTTTTTTTTTTTATTGCTTTCTTCTCTTCATCGTTCACTTCTCTTTTTACTTCTCTTTCATGTCAAGACAGTGATGTCACATATCTCTTCCGTTCGTTGTACTTGTTGCTTATTATATTTGCCGGACCGATCGACGTTGATAGAGAAACACAAAGATAACGTCGGGAAATCGCGGAATTTGCGATTCGCTTTTTCGTGTCCCATTTCGGAGGAAAGAGGGGAAAAGGGATTGAAAATATGAAAGAAACCTAAAGTCGGAGATTTCACACTCGATTATTAAGTTGTTATGAAAGAATCTTTTGTGAATCTCTTTATCATAAATTTAAAAAAAGGAGAGAGCCTAAATTCAATTTCTTGCAATAGATATGTCGGACTAACAAAGATATCAAAGAACTTAATTCTTATATAAGTAATCTAAAAAACAAAAACAAATTTTAACAAAACAAAAATTTAAACAAATTTTTCGAATAATAAAATTAAATATTTTAATTCTTATATATCAGATAATTATTTTAATTATTAATTATTTTATTAGGTTAAAAATATTTCAAAATTTAGACCTAGAATATTTTATATATGCATCGTATTATACATAATGATGTAATAGCTATTATTACAAAATTACGAAGATAAGTACATAATTAATTTTACAAATAATAAATAATAAATTATAATTATAATGGTTTATTCCATGTTTCGTCATCGTCTAATACTTTCTCGGCTTTTCTCCTCTTTTCTTTACCCTATGTTGCTTCTTTATAATAGTTAATTCGGTTAATTACGATTGCGTGGCATTTTATATAGCACTTCCGACATTAATCACGCGTTAAATATGCATTTTATTTTACATTGTGACGAAAAAACGCAAAAAAATCACACGAAACTACGATCCTCTCAACACTAAAAGAAAATAAATCATATGGAATACGCGTTTCGACGATGTATATATACAAGCGTCGAACTTATGATAAATATTATATAATACGGGATTAATAAAACGAGTATACTTATTAATAAAACGTATCGCGATAATGACGGAGTCAATTAATTAAGTAGTCGCGATTTCTCTTAATGATCGAGAAATCGAGATTTGAAAATAACATCGGCATTTTTATCCTGATATCGCGCGACATTACGCGGATTAATGACTAGTTAAGAGATGGGAGAATTAATTAATTGCGCGGATAATATCTGATAAGTAATAATTGTTAGAAATAGTTTTATTTCGACGTACAAATTTTGCTATGAATATATATACTTACATATCGCGCGGCGGCTTTGTTGTTATTCGCACGTTATTGTTTACATGCGGTGGCCTTGTTGTCATTCTTGCGGCGAAGCTCGGACGAAAGAATCGTGACGTGTATCGTATTATTTCTCGAGACGTGATCATTCAAGTACTAGACAAGTACGAGAAAACATCAAACACTTGTTCTGTCTACGATTTTCATGATCGTAGTCTCGTGTAATCGTGATTTTTACATTGTTCTGTCGCGATATAAAAGAAAATACGCGATTTAAATATGCGATTAACGTCGTGTTGTGTAAAATGTCGCGCAAACATCGTACTTTGATAATTAATGCACGCGCGATCGTAATTAATCGTGTTTTCGCGAGTGTGTGCCGTGAAGGAGCAGCTTAGGACAAACGAGAGAGGAGGAGGAGGCATCAGACGATCGTAAAGGTAAGAGATTCTTACCTATACTTGCGAATTATACTTTGTACACGATCCGAAAGTACGGATTTTAATCGACGATCAATTTGATGCGTGGGTCTTATCGGATTATATGTATTAACGACAACTTTTATGCCTTTACTCTTTTATATTTTTGACAAGTATCAGCTGATTTTTTAAAACCTAAGTACATTTAAATACAATTAAATTACAGGCATATTTCTCTTTTTTTTAATCGTTACAATTTTCTCTTTTTCTCTCTTTTATGCCTTTGCTTCTCTTTCTTTATATTTTTGACAAGTATCAGCTGATTTCTTAAAACCTACGTACATTTAAATACAATTAAATTACAGGCATATTTTTCTTTTTTTAATCGTTATAATATTCTCTCTTTCTTTCTTTTATGTCTTTATTCCTCTTTCTTTATATTTTTGACAAGTATCAGCTGATTTTTTAAAACCTAAGTACATTTAAATACAATTAAATTACAGGCATATTTTTCTTTTTTTAATCGTTATAATATTCTCTCTTTCTTTCTTTTATGTCTTTATTCCTCTTTCTTTATATTTTTGACAAGTATCAGCTGATTTTTTAAAACCTAAGTACATTTAAATACAATTAAATTACAGGCATATTTTTCTTTTTTTAATCGTTATAATTTTCTTTCTTTCTCTCTTTTATGCCTTTACTCCTCTTCCTTTATATTTTTGACAAATATCAGCTGATTTTTTAAAACCTACGTACATTTAAATACAATTAAATTACAGGCATATTTTTCTTTTTTTTTAATCGTTATAATTTTCTTTCTTTCTCTCTTTTATGCCTTTACTCCTCTTCCTTTATATTTTTGACAAATATCAGCTGATTTTTTAAAACCTACGTACATTTAAATACAATTAAATTACAGGCATATTTTTCTTTTTTTTTAATCGTTATAATTTTCTTTCTTTCTCTCTTTTATGCCTTTACTCCTCTTCCTTTATATTTTTGACAAGTATCAGCTGATTTCTTAAAACCTACATACATTTAAATACAATTAAATTACACGCATATTTCTCATCATAATTTTCTCTCTAATCGCATTTGAATCAATATTTGATTTAGTATAATTTTAATCCATTAATTTTTTACGAAAGTAGATTAACAGGTTTCTCGTTATTTTCTCTTGCACAAGATCGCTTAAATCCTGTTGCGAGCCTGTCTTTGTCAGGCTTGAGCGATAACTTTCTCGATATATACTCGGAGCCCGATATCGATAACGAGCGAAGCGTTTGCTCGTGATTTCCGCCAATCGGTCCGTTACTGTTTATCCCTAATTCCGATTGATAGAGCGTCTATCTCACTCTCAAGAGCGAGATTATCCACGCGCCGCGGTTATCCGCATGCGTCGATGGGTTGATCGCGATCGGAACGTGACGCTCATGGCGGCTTAAAATCTACCGGTTATCGGTCGGCTATCAGCTCATTACGCTAATATTCAGCTCGCGGCATGTCCGCGGTATATCGCGATCGTGCCTTTTTTGCACGGGGCCGTCCGTGTTCTCGCACACGTGTGCCGGAGGTCGCGCAACATTCCCGTTTTTGGTCGTCTTCTCTCTTCGTTCTCGGTCGTTCGATCGCTGATCTTTGCAGAGAATCGTCATTTGCGAGAGGAATCTCGCTGGAGAATAAAATCTTAAATTTTCCGCAACGAAAATTGGAACTTCGTGCCATGTACTTGTACACAATGTTCATTTTTTGATGATGAAAGTTGCGATCTTTTTTATTGCTTGTTATAAATAAATTTGTTGACGACTCTCGAAAGAATGGAATTGTTTTAAATAATTATTATTTAATAATAGAACAGCAATAATGATAATTTATAGGCTTGAAATTATTTTGTTGAAAAAGATTCTGATTTTATTTATATAAAAACGGTGCTATTGCACTTTGCCAATGCATTATTGCACCAGCGAAAATAATAAGGTTGTAAAAGGCTAAAAATTATTAGATCTTATTTTTTCTTTTATTATTTATTTTTTGATTGCGTAAAAGAAACTCATTCATTATGTTGTATATGATTCATTCTCTATATTTTTGTAGAAAACGAACGAATGATGAAATAAATCAGGAATTGTACATTATTACACATACAGAAATGGAAATTTGATACAACAGATATGAAATAGATAGGTATTTTTTGTCGAAATTTTTATCAATCTCATATCAACAACGCACACTATTTTAATTTTATTTTAATTTATAAGAGCTTGTTTTTCTTTATCACACATTTAGATATTCTTTATTATCTATTTTATCCACTGTGTAAAAGAATTTTCCAAGAATAGAACAAGTTCGTGTTTCTTACTCCACACACGCTTTTTTTCTCTTTCTTTTTATCTCTCTTCTTCTCTCTCTTTTCTGTTCTCCGTCCGTTGGTTTTAGGGATCCGATACCATGCAGATTACTAGAAGCGTCTGCGTTTTCTCAAACCACGAGATAAGACAGTGAGAGAGATGGGATGATTGCCAGGTTTTTTCTTTCTCTCTCTCGTACTCTTTCGATTTCGACTACGCCGATATGCACTTCCACGCATTCCGATCTTTCTGAATCGCTCGAAAATGATTCGAGGTTACTAACTGCGTCTAGTAATAACGATAAATAATGATTATACGATATAATCAACGATCTTAGAATGGAAACATCTTTTATACTTCTTTTTAGAATTTAAAAATCTTTTTTTATTATATATTGAGTATTTATATCTGATACATCATAGTATAAATCATAGCATCTCATAGTCAAATTATCAAGTGCATATATATTTTGTCCTTCGACGAAAATAGATGAATCACTTTGAGTGAATCATTTAAAATAAATGCATTGGACAGATCAGCTTTTGTTTAATCTTATCTGAGTTGCAGCGATGCGCTAATCGAAATATGTCCAATGCAATTCTAGAAAGAATCTTTTAAAAATGTGAATAAAAAAACGAAATAAGAGACATCGGTAATTTTAAAATTGTTTGAAAATTACAATTATTCGTACACTATTTATTTATGACAAATCTAGTAAACAATTTTATTAATAAGGGCGGCAAAGATGTGAAATGACAAATAAAGATGCTATTAACAATTTTATTCTATTGTATAAATTATGAAATTAAATCTTATATATTATTAAAAATTATGTCTATATTTTTTAGTAATTCGTGCATTTTAAAGTAATCGTAAATTCAACAGAAAAATGAAAACTCTTGGAAAATAGCGAGCAGGCAACCGATTGATATTTATCATGAGCGCATCAGTTTTACAAAGCGTGGGCGTTAATGTAAATGTAACCTTTGTTACACAGTCGTAGCGAGTTATGCAAAGTTATTCGCGCTAGATTGTCGCACACTGATAAATGAACGGATTTAAGCAATTGCAACTGCTTACGGATGGAAATGCCGAGTAAAACATGAATTATTCGCTTCGCAATATACAATATATATGCGACATTCCACACAAAATAGTTTATAATTATCCTTTTGGAAAATCTATTTGAGAATCAACATTATTTTTTATAGAAGGATAAGAAGAAAGATAAGAGAAATATAAATGACCATGTTTTATCATAAATAAAATCGCGGATCATATTCAAGAATGAAAATACCCCCTACATTTTCCGAGATCACATTGTTTCGAACGATTTACTCATCCCTTACATTGTGGACGACGATTAAGACAGCGATTGTCGAAAGAGCGAAGCGTATCAATTCGCCTTGAAATTCCTGGCGTAGGATCATTGGACGGTTTTCAGGTTCCTGTCATTTCGCGGTATCGACATGCAAGAATCGTCATGCGTGCATTCCGATCGAGACCCCCTTCCCCCTTCTCTCTTCCTTTTCCTTTACCCTCTCGTCTCCCGCGAGTAGCGCGTCGGATATTATATCTCGAGTGCCCCTTTTCTCCTCAATCATCGGGCTTATCTGAGCCTCTTCAGATAAGAGTGGCGCCTTGGTCATTTCGAACCGGTACTCGGGTGGAGGAGGGGGAGAGGAGGCACCATCTTTACCGCTTGGGATAACGTTGAAAAATTAAGCGTGACCTTTCAATGGAAATTAAAGCGTCTCAGAAAAGTGCGTATCTCGGCCGATTTTCAATCATTTCTCACAATTCGATAATTGCCGCAGATTATCATCGCGTTAAGCGAGAACGAAAAGATATGGAACAAGATATGCAAATGGTGATCTTTAAATTGTGCGTGTGATTTTGAAGTTTTTTTTATACAGTATATAATAAATATAATAATAATAATAAAGTAAATTGTAATTTGTGAGAGTTTGAGAAAATAAAATTGCAATCTGATTTAATTATTTCGACATTTTCTCGTTACGTTAATTAATAAAATTTATTTATTCTTTGTTTTTTCAAGAATTTCATACAGAAAAAAATTTTTGTTATATATATACAGGGTGTTCTATTTTAATTTCCCCAGGCAAATATTTCGGAAAATAAGGAAAATTCGACGAAACGTTTCAGACAAAAGTTGTATAGTTTCTAGGGGGACATAAGATGGTGCCATTAGTTTGACCTTGAAGAGTCACATGAAGGTCACGTAAAGGTCATTTTGAATTTCTTAAATATAATACCCTATATATTTTTGCATATTCTGGTAGCTTACTTCGAGAACTTTCCCCAAAACACTGTAATAAAGTATTTTTTCATTTAGTACTTTTTGAGTTATTTTATATTCTAATCATTTGATCACTATTATTATTATTATAGTAATTTATGTAATAAATTCTTCTATTTATCAGCATAACATCTCATCGAGAAAATTGACATGTTTCAAAAATTTTTTATTTTGTGACATTTTACATAAATTTGCATTATTGCAACACCGAGTACTTTAATACAGGAGGAATAAGAGAAATTACGCGCGAGACTTCAAGACGCCGGTTTTCGCTATCGGGCTGCCGCGAGTGAGGAGAAGTGAAGGAAGAGGTTTACACGCTGTTGAAGGTGTTTATCGAGCAAATACAAGCG